AGCCCTCACTCCCTTCATTCAGTCACTATTCCCCCTCGACTGAGCTCCCACACTTCCTAGAGCCCAGCCCTTCAATGGATCCCCGGTCCCCTCACAGAGCCCCTGACCCTCACACAGGCCCCATCTCTTGTTTTCACTTTCTCACAGAACCTCCAACTGCTCACTGAGCCACCATCCTCATTCCCCTGGTTGAGGTCCCAAACCCCTTCCCTGGGCCCTGCCCCACCCCCAAGCCTTCTGGAGAGCTCAGTGGCCACCTTGGCAAAGCCCTGGAGGCCACCTCCCCCTCCCTGACTCCCCAGCTGAGCCTCAGGCTATCGCCACGCCAGCCCCACCTCTGCCTGGACCCCCAGGGCATCTGCAGGTTCCCAGGTGAGGCCGGGATCCCCCATGAGCTCACACGGGACCCCTCTCCTCATCAGGGAAGCGGATGAGGTCCTCAGGGCGCCGGCAGACCCTCTATGCAGACCGCCAGGCGTCCCTGCAGGTGTCCTGCGCCTACAAGGAGGACGAGGGGCTCTACACAATCCAGGTGCCTTCACCCCTGGGGCCCCGGGAGCAGAGCACCTACGTGTTTGTGAGAGGTGAGTGGGGGTGGAGCAGAGGGACCGCCGAAGCCCAGAGACCAATTGTCCACATGCGAGGTGTAGAGTGGCCCCCAGTAGTCCCCTCACCCAGATGCTGTGGTTTGAGAGGAGGACGCTATTATTTGGGTCCTGGTCTTCAAGATCAGCTCTGAGCCCCTGGATGGGGAATGGAAGAGGATGTTGGGCGGGCATGGGAGGGAGCCACTGCCCAGTGGGCATGGACTGGAAGAGCCTCCCCATCCCCTCTCTCCCCATCCCCTCTCTCCCCATCCTCCCTCTCACCCCACCTGGGTTTCAGATGCTGCAGCAGAGAACATGGGGGCCCCGGGCTCCCCACTGAACATCCTGTGCCTGGATGTGAACAGAGACTGCCTCATCCTGACCTGGACCCCACCCAGTGACACTCGGGGCAGCCCCATCACCGGCTACTCCATTGAGCAGTGAGTCAGCCGCTTGAGTGGAGAGTCCCTGGGGGGGGAGGGTCACCCTCTGCCTGGTTGTGAGGACAAGAATGGGGCCACAGGAGAGGGAGCCCCATGCCTAGACTCAGAACAGGGCAGAAGGTCACTGTGCTGCTCACTTTAGGGGCAATAAAAGGGTGTTCAGTGAAACTCCACCCTGGAGTCAGCCGCTGGCCTCTGGATTGTTTACAGTAAGGGGGTGGGGGTAGAGGGAGTGGGGGAGGGCAGGGGGGGGACATTAAGTGCCTGAAACCCGACACATGTGCCCTTGTTGACTGTTTCCCTTCCTGAGTGACAGACAGAGCGGCTGTGACCCCAGAGGGAGGGGCACACCGGGCAGGGGAGGCCCCGGGACACCTGCCTCCTTAGCCACCAGCTCTGAGGCCCAAGCCTGACGCAACACGCAGTCCTGTCACTGACGGGCTCGAGGACCGTGTACCTGGGGCTTCGCGCCTGATCACTGCGTCCTTCCAACCTCCCATCTAAGGGGCAGGGGGCTCCTGGGTGCCCCGATCTACAGATGAGGAAACAGATACATGGGGCGATGACATTGCCCGAAGTCACATTGCTCATTAGCGTGGAGTCAGGTGACCACTGCCCATCCCACCCGTAATGTTGCTGTGAAATGACCTGAGGGCGTGGTGCCCAGCTCTGAGGGTCAATCTGGACCACATGCCGACTTCGGGCACGGACAGCCCTCGGGTGAAAGCCTAACTCCACCACCCACGCGCTGTGGACCTTGGGCAAGTCCGCTCCCTCTCTGAGCTGTGCATCCCTGGCTAGAGTGACAGTCATCAACCTGACTCCGCGGACTGTTGGGATTCAATGAGCTGATGGGTGTGGAGGGCACAGCACGGCTCAGGCACCTGGGGCAGCTCCATGAACGGCATGGAAAGTTCCATCACGGGAGGCGGAGGATGACCCCAACCTCCTGGGGGCCCGAGGTTGGAGCCAGGCGTTTGAATGGAGAGCAGGCTTAATTCGCAGGCAGCCCCGGACAGGGAGACGGCCCTGGTAGAGGCCCACACAGGGAAGGCGTGAGTCACAGGCAGGGGCTGAAGCTGGCGTCTCCCCCACAGGTGCCAGGGCGAGTCTGGGCAATGGGTGCCCTGCCATGAGGCCCCCGGCGGGACCTGTCGGTGCCCAATCCAAGGTCTCGTCAAAGGCCAGAGCTATCGGTTCCGGGTGAGAGCCGTCAGCAAGGCGGGCAGCAGCCTCCCCTCCAAGGCCTCAGAACCGGTTGTCATGGGCGACCCCGATGAAGCTCAGAGGAAGACAGGTGGGTTCAAGGCCCTGAGGGACTGACTTACTCGGGAGACGGGTGGCACAGTCCATTCCAAACCCTATTCCAAGGGCGAGACCCAGCCCAGGCCTCAGGGACTCTAATCCGATGGAGGAGACAGGGCCTCAGGAGCCTCTAGTCGGTGGGAAGAAACACAGTGTGTCCTTAGGAACCCCCGGCCTGAGGGGAGGGCACAGGTGGTCTGATGGAGGAAGCACAGACCCGCCCACAGGAGATGCTAAGCGGGAAGGAGGACCACAGCACCACTACAGGTGCTCTCGATCTGAAGGAGAAAACAGTCCTGCCTCGGAGCCCCTGGGGAAGGGAGGGGACACAGAAGGACTCCGACCCCAGGCACATCCCTCCTCCTCTCGGTCCTCGTTTCTCCCGAGAGGACAGGGCATCCCCCAAGCTCTAGAGCAGCAGTGCTCCACTTTGGACCCCTGGGAATACTGGGGCCCAGAGAGGACCTCCCTGAGGTCACACAATGAAAGGCCACGGCCAGGAACAGGTGGAGGAATCAGACCCTCCTGACCCAGCCCCCACATACCCTGCACCCCTACTTCTCCCCCAACTTGCTCCATTCTCCATCCTAGAGATCCCCTTTGACCTGGGGAACAAGATCGTGATCAGCACAGATGATTTGGAAGGTACGTGGGAACCTCCTGACCCTTTGCCTCAAGACTCCAGCCCCCTTTATGGTTCTGGAAACTGGTCCACGAACCAGCAGAGACAGAAGCTGTCCCTGGAGGGTGGGGGGTGTGAGGGAGGGTTCTAGTCAGAGGAGCCAGAGTTCTCAGGTGAGGGTGGCCCGTCTTGCTGTGCCCCTCGTGGACGGGATGGAGAGTCCTAGGCAGGACATCGGGAAGCCCGCCTTCTGGCCCCAGCTCTGCCGGCCTTGCTGGGTGACCTGAAGCAAGTTCCTGCCCCTCTCTGGGCCCCAGTTTCCTCCTCTACGAAATGAGGGGCTGAGATTAGGGGTCTCTAAGGGCCCACTCATCTCTGCCCTGGATGACTCTGATTCTAGGCTTCGTGACCATCCCCTCGCCTCCAACCAATGTCCATGCCAGCGAGATCCGTGAGGCCTACGCGGTCCTGGGCTGGGAGGAGCCGAGACCCCGGGGCAGAGCTCCGCTGACATACTCCCTGGAGAAGGTAGGAGACCCCAAGGCCTGAGAAATAGACTTGCTGTGGGAGCAGGTTGTGGGGAGTCAGGGAAGTGCCGAGAGCCCCGAGCAAGGCCGTGTCCCCTGGGGAGGCCTTCAGAGCAGGGTAGAGCGGTCCCTGAGCTGGCCCTTCACAGGAGCAGGGGGGCAAATGGCCCTTTGAGGTTTCCTGCAGCCCTGAGAGGCAGTTTCTGATGGTGGTGCCTGAGGCTATTCACAGAAACACACAAAATTAAGAGACACAGACAACAATACAACAGTAAGATCCCTGCCCCCAGTCTGGCTGGCATTGGGCCATGCATCAGGCCACACAAGTCCTCTTGGCCAGAGCCATGACGGGAGGGAAGCCAGGCGGGCCCGAGCCAGCCGGGGTCATGGCGGCGGCACTCACAGGGCATCGGGCGGGGGTGTAGAGGAGGCCTTTCTCACCGGGGACAGGGTGGGAGCAGGTGTCTGGGAGGGGGCAGCTTTGTGGAGTGGATGTCACAGTGGAGGACAGTGTGGCGACAGATCATTCCAATCTGATTGTGCTGCGTGAGCCCGTTTCCTAACTTCTCTGAACCTCATTTCCTCCAGCATAGACTGACATCCTCCCCCGTGAGGGTGAAATAAGATGCAGCACTCAGCCCAGGCCAGCAGCCATGGGCCTGTGAACACTTCCCGAGGAGATGCTCTAGACCCTGGCGCATAGTAGGTGGACAGTCAGGATTAGTGGATCAATGAGTGAAAGGTTCCAGGGAGGCGTCTGCCTCTGGTTGCCCAAATGGGCCTCTTTTCACACACTCACGGGTGATCTATTTCTCCGACATAGGAAAGCTATTCCCAGAACTGAGGATTTGTTTTTCGAGGCTGTGGAGTCTATCTAATGCAGCGGTTCTCAACCTGTGGCTCACGACCCCTTGGGGGTCGAACGACCCTTTCACAGGGGTCGCCTAAGACCATCGGAAAACACATATATAATTACATATTGTTTCTGTGATTAATCACTATGCTTTAATTATGTTCAATTTGTAACAATGAAATTGGGGGTCCCCACAACATGAGGAACTGTATTAAAGGGTCGCGGCATTAGGAAGGTTGAGAACCACTGGTGGTTAGACCATGGAGTCAAACTGCCTGGGTTCAAATCCTATCTCTGCTACTTACTAGTTGTGTGACCTTGGGCAGGTTATTTAGTCTCCCTGTGCCTCAGTTTCTCTCCTATATAATAGAGATAATCATTGTACACACTTTATAGGGTCAATATGAGGATCAAGTTAATTAAAGCCTCTAAGACTTAGAACAGAATCTGGCCCACCAGTGTTCAGAAATGTTCACTGGTTTTCTGGCGATTTCTTGCCTCGCTGGGCTCTAGGCCACCACCAGCTGGGTGGGCCTTGGGTGGAGGTGGGGGGGGAGCACAAGGAAGGCAGGGTCAGTGGGTCCCCTGGTGCTTCTCAGCTTTAAGTCTCACACCCAGACTCAGCAGAGTGGCCTCTGGGTGCCTCGCCAGCCTGCATCACCCTCAGCTCTTCACCCTCTATCTGCCCAGAGACGCAGAATTTATGGCTGCCTTTGGGGCCCCTGGCGCTGTGGAGAGTGAGCAGGTTTGGGGGCACCCACGCCTGAGCTTAAATACCAAATACACAAGCTATTAGATGCATGACTTTCTCCTCAGTTACCAGAACTCCCTGAACCTGTGTTTCCCATCGGCGGGGAAATTAACACCTACCATCCATTTATTCATTCATTTATCCCACAAACATAGATGGAGCACCTCCCGTGTGCCGGTACTGTCATTGGCCCCAGGTACAGACAAAAACCCCTGCCTCTGAAGCTGGCATTCAAGTAGGGAGTGGAGACGCATGATAAACAAGACAGATGAGTAACATATTTAGCACATTAGCTAGTGGTAGCCCTGAGGGGGAAGACATAAGGCAGGGAGGGGAGGGCTGCTGACATAGGTGGAGGGGCTGGGGAGGCCTCCCCAGGACGGTGAGTTCTGAATAAAGGCCTGAAGGAAATGAGGAGCCAGCCAAGAGATTTCTGAGGGAAGAACATTGGGGGGTGGCGGGGGGAGGAGGGGGGAGAGACCAACAAGTGCAAAGGCCCAGAGGCAGAGGTTGGGCCTGGCACCGTCAAGGAGCAGCAGGGGGCACAGAGCCATGGTGGGTGGACAAAGGGAGCATGACATGCGGCCAGACAGGTGGCCAGGGCCAGACCCTAGAGAACTTTCGCTCTAAGGGAGCTGTGGGGCCTGGGAGGGTTCTGAGCAGATCAGCACACCCCCTGACCCGTGTTGTAAAAGAAGCCCTCAGACCATCATTTGGAGAGAAAAAGGCGGAAGGGAATTAAAGGTAGAAACAGGCAGACCAGCTAGGAGGCCATTAAAATAACTCAGATGAGAGACAATGGTGGCTTGGATGAAGGTTGTGGCAGGGGACCTGCGGGTGGTAAGTCATAGTTGGAGTCTGGATACATTTTGAAGGTAGAGCCGACTGCATTTGGGGATGGAGCATATTTGGGGTGTGCGGGAAAGAGGGCAGGAGTCCTGGACCGCTCCAAAGGTTTGGGCCTGAGCAAAACCTAACTCGTGTGGGCAGCTTCGGTTTGGGGCGCGCTCCAGGGTCGAGTTCTGGACGTGTGGCAGGTGAGACGCTCAGTGGGCGTCCAGGTAGAGATGGCGAGGAGGCAGGTGGATCCAGAGCTCGGGTTCAGGGGCAGCCTTGGCCGGGATAAACGTTAGTGAGAGCATGTGTGGGAAGTGGGCGGCACAGGGCAGCTCCGGCAGCTGCTCAACCAACGCGAGTTTCTCTCCTTTGTCAGTCGGTCATAGGCAGTGGCACCTGGGAGGCCATCAGCACAGAAACTCCTGTGAAATCCCCGAGATTCGCACTGTTGGACCTGGAGAAAGGGAAGTCGTACGTCTTCAGAGTGCGAGCGATGAACCAGTATGGTGTGAGCGACCCCTCGGAGCCCAGCGAGCCCATCGCCTTGCGGGGAAAGCCAGGTACCTGTGTGGTGCAGAGGGGGGGTGGGGGCGGGGCAGGCCGGGCCCGGGCGGTGGGCTGTCAGCATTCGGGGCTGTGAGACCCCAGGCCACAGGGCCAGGGCCAGGCCCATTTCCCTGTCCCTGACCGCCTCTACCTCCACGGAGCTGAAAAGCAGCATGACCTCAGCCTGGGAAATGTCAGGACATCAGCCATCACATTTCTCTGGGCAGAGGGCTCATGGATGCACAGGCTTTTCTTTCCAAACCACAGTTCACAGTTTGCAGAATCCAGCTGGGTCCAGCATAGGTGCTGAGTGTGACCAAGTGGCCCCTTAGTTCTAAAGGTCTCCAACCGGCACCCACTCCTGCCTCCTGAGCAGGCTTCCTGCCCCCTCCCTGGTAGGGGCTCAGCTGTCCTACTTGAGCCCTGGCTCACCTGCTAGGGAGCTCTCATCTTCAGCACGGCATGGGCCTGGGCACATCATCTCAGAGTGGCAGACCTGGTGTCCTCTCCTGCCAAATGAATGTACATATTCACAATAAGTGTGAATGGGTTGGTGGGCCAGTGGGGTTTTTCTTTCATTCTGGTCCAGCGAGGGTTTAGGCCTGATTTGGGGCCTGGCCGGTGAGTGGCTTGTGATTGGGTGTGGGCTGTCTCTGGACCACTAGCCGGGGGGCAAGGTTCCAGCACAGTTCAAAAAAAGAAGGGAGAGGAAAAGATGGGGGAGGAGGGGAGAAAAAAGAAAAGCTATTGACTTGTATTCTAGAAGTAAAATTATGTTAAAATGGCTATTGACTTGTATTCCAGACGTAAAATTATGTTAAAATGGGAAAGTACCCCAAAAAGCAAAAGAGTGAGAGAGGAAGGAAGGGAAAGAGGAATAAATTGAGAAACTGATAAACAGAAAGAAAAGAGTACTCCCCCACCATGATTCCACTGCCCAGTATCTGGATGCCTGGGTTTCTGGCCTTCTGACCACACACAAATCAATGCATCTTTTTCAAAGTCTGATCAAACCATAGAAGAGCTTTGCATTCTGCTTTTAAAAGTAAACATTATATCGCAAACATTTCCTCGGGTCATGAAATCCTCCTTGAAGTCCTGATTTTAATGTCTGAGGACTACTCCATGGAACCCTCGGCTCAAGTTCTTGCCTTCGGGTAGAATCAGGTCTCTGTGCACATGGGGTCCCTGGGTGGCCTCCTTCCAGCCTCTCCCCTCCATCCAGGCTTCATCCGCTGCCACACTGTCTTCAACCCGAGAGGCTGACGTTGTTAACAGGACTTCCTGTGCCCAGGACCTCAAGTCCATCTCTCAGTACATCCCCTGTGCCGAGTGCAGAGCCTGGCTCAGCGTAGGCACTGGGTGAAAACTGGATTTATGTTGGATGGGTGCTGAGTTCAGCCTTTTTCTGTTGACTTTGTGGCACCACCAGAACACAAGGGAAAGTGTCTGGGGAGAATGGAAGATGAGCTCTAGAACTCAGGGGAGAGGGCAGGGCTGGAGTTAAAGCCTGGGGAGTCACCTGCAGAGAGGTGAGGGTTGAAGGCATGGGAATAGATGAGAGGAGAGAAGAAAAATACAGCAAGTCAAGGAACAGAAGTTGGAAGAGCCCCACATTTGGGGACAAAAAAGATGGGGATCCCCAAAAGATATATAAGGAGTTTGAGAAGTAGAAAGAGAAGGAAGCTCCTGCACCAGCCATATATTCACTCATCCATTCACCTATTCATTCATCCATCCATTTGTCTATTTATCCATCCATCCATCCATCCATGCATCCATTCATCCATCCATCCATCCATCTTTCCATCCATCCACCCTTCCATTTGTTCATCTGTTCATCTGTCCATCTATCTATTCATCCATCCATCCATCTGTTCATTTAACAAATCAGGGCAGTCCGTACTTCAAGGAGCATAGTCTCAGGGAGCCAGGAAAGTCAATAGAGAAATTTCAAGGAAAGAAAATCAAGTTTTCTAGCGATTGAAGATAAACACTGAGGAAAACTGCAGACCTGGTGACTTCTAAGTGAGGAAGATTGTAAGGATTGATGACTGGAGCCCTAGTGAGGAAGTGGAGATGTTTGGAGGTGAGAGGGGAGAGGACTGGGAATACACGAGTCTGGGGCACGCCTCCGGGACAAGGAAAGCGCTGCCCGAAGCCCCGGGGCACATTGGAACCCACAGCCCACCACTCCCCGTCGTGTTAGTACCATGTAACTCAGCATCCTTACTCAGTCCATGTTTCTGTCTTTAGCGACCCTGCCTCCGCCAGCTCAAGTTCAAGCTCTCCGAGACACGCAGACCTCTGTCTCCCTGACCTGGGATCCTGTGAAAGAAAGCCCAGAGCTCCTGGGGTATTACATCTACTCCCGGGAGGCAGGATCGTCCGAGTGGCAAACAGTTAACAACAAACCCATCCAGGGCGACAAGTGAGTTTGCCACACCCCTTCCTGCACCAGGGCACCCTCCGAGGAGGCTCCATAAGAACAATGAAGCCCATTTCACAACACGGTACTGGGTGCCGGGCACTGTTCTGAGCTCTTTTCAGATATGAGGTCATTTAGTCCTACCTGCAATCCTATAATCCTAGGACTATTATCTTTATTGTCACTGGACAGGTGAAGAAACTGAGGCACCGGGTGGTCAAGTGACCTGCCAGAATTCCCTTATCTAGTAAATGGAGGAACTAGGACTTGACCCAGATGGTCTCTTCTTCAGCAAACACAGGAGGAAGGCTTCCTGTTTGCAGACAGAGGTGACTCATTAGGTCTCATCCTTCCAGGAGCTTAGATACAGAGAACAGAGGGTGCAGGGCAGCAAGTGGCTCCAGGACCAGGGAGGCCTGAGTTCAGACTCCGCCCCCACCCCTCACTTGCCTGGTCAGGGACTGGTCCTCTCTCAGCCTCAGCTCAGACTCCAGTCCTCTTGCCTTTCCAGCTCCCACTCCCCTCCGAGGCCCCTCCTCTCTCGGAGGCCCTGGTCCTGCAGGCTCCGTGAGCCTTGAGGCTTCCGGGCTCATGACTTCGCTCAGTTTAGAGGCTCTGTGGGGTACGGGCTCAGGTGGTGACCTGGGCAGATCCTGAGCACGCCTGGCTGTGCTCCTCTCACCTGGGCCCCAAACTCTGAGATCATCTTACCCTGAAAAAGCGACAGGAGCTTGTCCCTCTGGTCTTCAGCACCTCCCACTCCGCTGCGGGGGTCACGCATGATTGGTTACTGCTGAAGTGTCCAAATTGGAGAGAAACTGGGTGTTTGACAAATTAGCTCCGAGTCCGAGTTCTTCCTAGAATAGCACCTCTCCCCCCCTTGCATTGAGTGTACTTTCCAGAGGAGGGGCAGGGGCTGAAGGGGAGTCACGTAAAGGGTGTGACAAGCCTGGGGGATGTGTCACACCTGGGAGGGTGGCATGCTCCTCTGGTAAGTCCAGGAGCTCATCACTCATGAGCATGTCACAGGTTACATGTCTCATGGCTGGAAAGAGGCTGGACGTGCTGCCCAGGAGAGCTGCCGGGGTGACGGCACGAAGGCAGCTCAGTGGGGCTGTGGTGGTCAGTTCAGTGCCATGTTGCTGGGCCCCACAGAACCTGGCTCATAGGAGGTGCTCAAAAGTGTCTGAATGAATGAATGGGCATGATGGTGCTGTGCTGGGACTCAGCTGTGTTCCCAATTGGCTGTGTGCCCTTGGCACACCTCTTTCCCTCGGGGGTCGGGGGGGGGGGGGGCCAACCTATAAAGTGAAGGAACTGGACAGTGTGATCCATAAGGTCCCCTCCAGCTTTCAACTTCCTCCTCATCTTCAAACAGGGGTAAGTAACAGGGCATTCGGACAAGTGCCTTGAGTTTGCACAGACCCGGCAGAAGCTGGGTGCTAGACAAGCATGCATTATTGTCACTGTTGTCATTCATGGTCAGCAGGGGCTGGTCCAGAGTCACCCCAGCCTCACCTGCTCAGGCTGCCTGCCCATCATCCCTGCAGTGTTTCATTCTCTCTTAAAGGCATATTGCCCGTTAGAGGTGGGTGTCCCTGCGCAGGGAACTTGATGCTGTATCGACCATCAACCTTGATTTAAGTCCTTGGGGCTCCTCGAGGTCAAACTCCCTATAGAACAAGATTTGCTAGAGGGAAATGTTGATAAATGGAAAGGGAGAAAGAAGTCCACAATTTGGGTTTTATCAAGAAGGGGCAGCATGAGAAAAACATTTTTCTCCAACCCCGAGTGAACCTGTATGTTTCTGGACGACAGTTCTCTCTGGGGGTCTTTAAAGGGACTCCGTGTTTTAGAATCGCAGCATCTGTGCAGATAATAAAAGCCACTGTGTTTCGAGGACAAAGTCCCAGAGATGTACCAGGGAGCACGGTTCAGCAGTTAGCTGCCTGGGCCTCCAACAGTACCTTCCCCAGCACATTCACATTTTAGCGGCGGGCTCTAGGAGCGTTTTATTGAGAAATAATTGACATGTGTCACTGTATAATGTGTACAACATGATGGTTTAAGTTACAGACACTGTGACATGATGACCATGATGGGTTTAGTTAGCATCCGTTATCTCATACAGATACAATTACAAGAAAAGGAAAAAATCCTCCTTGTGATGAGAGCTCTCATAACAACTTTCCCGTGTAGCAACCAGGAGAGTTAACGATAGTTATCATGTTGGACATTACCTCCCTAGTACTTACTGATCTTATAACTGGGAGTTTGTACCTTTTTTTTTTAAAGATTAGTGATTTCAGAGAGGAAGGGAGAGGGAGAGAGAGATAGAAACATCAGTGATGAGAGAGAATCATTGCTCGGTCGCCTCCCGCCTGCCCCACACTGAGGATCAAACCGTGACCTCCAGGTTCATAGGTCGATGCTCAACCACTGAGCGACCAGTTGAGCTGGCAGTGCATCCCTTTGACCACCTTCCTCCAACCTTTAATTAAGGACTTCACCCTGCAGGTGTGCGCATCACTTTGGGGGCAAGGGCAGTACCTCTAGGTAAGACCCTGGAATCCTGCCACGCGGGCTACCACTCATCCCCCAGGGTTGTTCTGGGAAGTTTGGGGATGTCTGCGAGCTGGTGGCCATCCCTGAGCACCGCACATTTCTCTCCCAGGTTCACGGTTCCCGGGCTAAAGACGGGGAAAGAATATGAATTTTGCGTCAGATCAGTGAGCGAGGCTGGGGTAGGAGAGAGCTCAGCGGCCACCGAACCCATCAGGGTCAAGCAGGCTCTGGGTAAGTCCTCGGGGCAGCTCGGGGCTGGGCAGGGAGCAGGGCTTACACACCACATCTTGGAGGGTCCGTCCCAGAGGCCAGTGGGGACAAGTCCCCGAGGGGAGCGGGAGCGTCCCCTCCCCGACCACCCTTTCCTTTGGGAAGGAAGCACCCGTGGCCTGAGGCCATGCAGTGACGCCTGACCAGGTGCCCTCCCAGGGGCAAAGTCAAGGTTACTAGCGGGCACCTCTGGCTAAGTTAGTACCCCCAGAGCAGGGTGGGCGCCCACTGGGGAGACTTGGTAACTGCCCCTGGCCTCCCCTCCCTGCCTCCCCGTAGCTACACCATCTGCCCCCTATGATTTCATCCTCCTGAACTGTGGGAAAAATGATATGGTCATTGGATGGAAGCCCCCCAAGCGTCGTGGGGGTTGCAAGATCCTGGGCTACTTCCTGGACCAGCATGACTCGGAGGAGCTGGACTGGCACCCGGTCAACCAGCAGCTGGTCCCGACCCAGGTCTGCAAGGTAAGGCTGCAGTGTGGCCGCCCGCCTGGTGTCCCGGCTTGTGCGGGTGAGTCACTGGTGGAGGTCCTGAGGCTGAGAGGGACCTCGGGTTCCCTGGCCTCCACGTGCAGACCCACGTGGCCAATCTTGTTAAAGCCCCAAGGACTCCCTGCTCTGAACCTCTCCCCACGCTCCTGCTGCTCCTCTGCTCTTTCCCCCCCCCCCCCCCCCGCCCCGGCCCCAGCCTCGGCTTTCAGTCTGTGTTTCTGCTCTTCAAGGTCAGCAACCTTCGCGAAGGCCACTTCTATGAGTTCCGTGCCCGGGCCGCAAACTTGGCAGGTGTCGGCGAGCTGTCGGCGCCCAGCAGCTTGTTTGAGTGCAAAGAGTGGACGATGCCCCAACCAGGTGAGAGGGCACCCCTCCTCCCCAAATCCAACCAATGCGAAGACCGCTGCCGAGCTCTCTGGGCATCCATGTTCGCGCTGTGGGTTCCAGACACCAGACCCCTGGCCCTTGCACCAACGCACCCTGTAATCGCTGACACAGTCTTAACCCTGCCTTGCAGGACCCCTGACCTTGACCGTCAGCTGGCCCTGTACCCCAGCACAAACTGTCCTCTAGCTCAGCACATCCTCGGCCTCTGGTTCTCGCCACAGACTAGTCTCAAAGGCACTCTGCTAGGGTGACTGACTCGTCCCAGTTTGCCCAGTTTGGTTTTACTGCTAAAAGTCCTAGACCAGTGATGGCGAATCTATGACACGCGTGTCAGAGGTGACACGCGAACTCATTTTTTTGGTTGATTTTTCTTTGTTAAATGGCATTTAAATATATAAAATAAATATCAAAAATATCAATCTTTGTTTGACTATGGTGGCAAATATCAAAACATTTCTATATGTGACACGGCACCGAGTTAAGTTAGGGTTTTTCAAAATGCTGACATACCGAGCTCAAAAGGTTCGCCATCACTGTCCTAGACCAACAAGAAGGCCTGGTCACCTGCACACCACTCCCCCAGCCCTGTTAGTTTCCTCACAAATGAGCCCCTCACCTCCCCCCAGGAAGGAAGGATCACAACCCTCCATCATTCTGTGCAGCTCAGTTCTGTTTTCTACACAAAACCTTGACCTGAATGGCAGGTAATTACTATGTGTGATGCTTTAGTCAACAATAATGATAAACAACTAATAGTTACTGGGTATTTACTATGTACTTACACGTTCCATAAATTATGTCATTAATGCTCACAACAGCACTATATTGTAAGAACTATTATTATCCCCATTTTACAGATGAGAAAACAGGAAGATCGAGGCTAAGTAACTTGCCTAGAGTCTCCACAGCCTGCAAGGGTAGAGCTGGGCCGTGAGCCCTGGTGATCTGACTCGGGAGGCCACACCCGTGGCCCCTCCACTAAACACGGAAACGGCAAAGACATTAGAAGGATTCATGCTGACTGGCACGGGGATGGGAGGCTCTAGCCCTACTTCAGGCCCAGGACAAGCTTTGTCATGAAGCCACGGCCAGCCAGGTCCCCACCATGCCCAGAACAGGGGCTTCCAGGCTTGGTCGTGACTGACGGATTGACAAGCTTGCTCAGTACCTGGCTATCTGGCTGGCCATTGGGCTGTCTGGCTGGTTGCCTGGCCGCCCAGCTCCTTCTCTACCCCATCTCCCACAGGTCCCCCATATGACGTGCGAGCATTCGAGGTGCGGGCCACCTCCCTGATGCTGCAGTGGGAGCCCCCACTATACACGGGGGCCGGGCCGGTCACAGGCTACCTCATCAGCTTCCAGGAGGAAGGCTCCGAGCAGTGGAAGCCACTCACCCCAGACCCCATCTCTGGCACCCACCTGAGGGTGAGTCCCTGCCCCTTCATCCGCTGGCCCACCTGAGCCTTCCCTACCACTAGACAAGGCAGGACTACAGAGCGTCAGTGCTGGAAGGACCCTTAGGGAGTACTGCCCTCACTTAATGGCAGCAGAGGACCAGAGAGGGGGAGTGGCTGACGCAGGGTCACACAGGAATTGGTAGTAGGTTGGCTGGCTGGTAGACAACCTGCTCCACTCTGAGCAGACTCCTCCCTAAAAATGCACTTATAATCGGTGAGGCGTATCAACATGTGGACATGCTAATCCCTGGAACCAAGAATTCTGCTTCAAGGGCTGAAGTGTCGAGAAATAGTTAAGCAAGTGTGCAAAGATCTGAGGATGACGATGCTCATTGTTGCATAGTTTATAAAGGCAAAGGTTGGAAACAACTTAACTGTCCATCAAGGGGTTTGCATCAATAAGTCAGAGTGTATCTTTAAGTGGAATCCTGTGCAGGGAGCATGAAGACTAGGTGGTTCAAGGAGTGGCGATAGGACAAAGAATGAGGTAGACATACATGTGCGTGTTGACATGAAAATATAGCCATCATATGTGGCTAAGAAAAAAAAGCAGAATTCAGAGTAGGACATACATACATTAAGTACCATATGTATATCATAGTACACATATTACATATTAACAAACATATATGCAGATGTATGTTTTTTAATTTGAACGAGGAACAAAAACTCTTTGGATAAACAAGAACTCTGGCAGAATCACTGGCTGTATTCACCTGTGGTGCTTGTAGGAGAAAGGAGAGCACTAACAATCCCCCAGCATAACAAAGACACCTTTACAAGCCAGGAAACTCAGGCGTCCATGGAAGCATTCTTCACAGACACAAGCGAGCGACTTAGACAATCAGTGAGACCCCCAGACTCCAGGCCACGGGCTGCTTTCACAGGCTCCAGCCTCCAGCTCTGAAGTCCGGAATTCTCACAGGCCTCCCTTGTTTAACGCACAGTTCCGGGATGTGGAATAGGGGTTTTTTCTGGGTCTTGGGAAAGGGATATTTTCTCCAACTCACTTTCCTGAAGGTGTCTTTCACCAGCAGACAGGAGGGTGGGGATTTCAGGTCCACACATAAGCATTCCGTTCGTTAGCACCAGGAGGAAAGACAGGCTGAAGGAGCCAACACAGAGTAGCAAGAACAAGACACTAAAAAAAACCAATACGGCGCATGTCATGTTTCTACACGAATGATGTGCATTTAAAGGCTAAATGGATTATTACAAAACTGTTGATTCTGGTTGTCTCTGGGGATGGGACCCCTGGGAGAGTTTTAATCCTTCCTTTTATATTCTCAATTGCTTTAATATTTTCCCTAACAAGTGTGTTTCTTTTATAACCAGAAAAAAAAATACTTTCATTTGAAAAAATAACATTAAGACCACCTAAGACAGAGTCAGGCGGGACAAGCCCAGCCTGGGGAAGGCTCTGAGACTGCAGTCGCCACCTCCACGGGACCAGCTCCCTGCGTAGAGTTGACCAGTGCTGGACAGCTGGCCCGAGAGAGCCACTCGAAATGGATGGTCTCTCTGCACCCCCCCATAAGTTAGCCCAGGACAGAGTGGGCAGGCCTCAGTGACTTGGCACCATTTCTTCATTCACTAAATACTTCTTGACACCTACTTAGTGCCAGATCTGGAAGCAGGTCCTACATGGAGCCATCCTTGGGTGACAGGCAATTACAATACCGTGTATTGCACAATGGAGGGGTGTCTGAGGGGTTCTGGGAGCTGGGAGGTCAAGGATGAGCTGGGAAAGGGCAAGGGGGACTCCAGGCAGAGGGCTCAGCGGAGGCACAGTCAGGGAGGCATGAAAGGACGTGACAAACGCGGGGCCCCTGAGGGGTCATGGAATGAAGGGGGCACCGAGAGGAGGAAGAGGACAGGGGCCAAGGTCACATTAGGAGGAGTCTGGGTACTAAACCTCAAAATCTGAACTTGACCCTGAAGGCCACTGACAGATCTAAGCATAATTCGACTGGCATCCTGGAGAGACCGGAAGAGGAAAGATAGGCCGGGAAGTGGGTCTGGGCGGAGATGCCACTGGGGACGCTGTTGGATTAATCCAGGCGAGGAGGAAATGAAATGGGGGCTTGGTGATCGCATGTGTGGGTCTTAAGAAAAAGGTGTTGAAGGCTTCTCTGGGGCAATAAATAGCGGAGAGACGGAGTGCAGGAAGGGGGAGGGGTCCTCACAGGGAGATGGATGATGAGTTAAGCTGAGAGCCAATGGGGTTTCAGGTGCCACAGGCATGGAGATCATCCCACTGGGGAACCTACTAAAAACGGGAAGTCAGGAGAGCCATGTGCTGCTAGCCCGCCCGTCCCCACCCCAGGGCAGCCTGTGCCTTCCCGGGGTTCCACAGATGCGCGGTTCCCAGCACCCCGTGGCCGTGGTTTCAGGAAGGGTGGTCATTGCTGTCCTCGGTGCTCACTCTCGCCTCCCTCCCCCACTCCCACCCCCAGATCTCTGACTTGCAGCCGGGGAAGCGGTACGCGTTCCAGGTGCAGGCTGTGAATTCAGCTGGTCCGGGGCAGCCGTCCATGCCCACCGACCCCGTGCTCCTGGAGGACAGGCCAGGTGGGGGCAGGCGGAGGGATGGGCTGGGCCGTCGAGGAGGGGCTCAGAGGGGGTCAGAGGAGCATGTGGAATTGCAGGACAGGACTTCTGTCCATCCCTCCCACCCCCACCCCAGCCCCCCAGCACTCCACACTTCTTCCAGCGTTCCTTCTTCCTGCTGTTTCTCTCTCCATCCCCCATTCCGTCTATTTCTATAGAATCCCAAGTTATGAACACATCTTCTGTCTGAAGGGGTCTCCCGTGCTTTCACATGCCACGTTCAGAAACTCACACAACGATTCATGGAGATTGGAAATAGCGCCCAACTCCAGTCCCAAGTATTATTTCAGGTGCCACGCAAGGCTTTGCCTGTCCTGCAGTCACAGCTCCTGAGGTCCCCTCCTACACACACGCCAGACGCTGCGCCAGGTTCTTACCCTGCCCTCGCCCTCCCAACCAGCCACCCAAGGAACCAGTTTAGAACGGAAGTCATTGTAGCTCCGAGAGGTGAAATGATCAGGTCGCACAGAGTCACTCAGCTCTCCTCACTATAAGGCATATCTCTTTCCATCTTTTAATTATTCATTCATTCAGCAAAAATTTGGTGATGCCCACATCACACTGGGGATATGGCAGGGATGAGAAAGCAAGGTCCCTGCTCTAGTGTGTGTGAGGGGGGCTGGGGTGGGGGGTGGGGGGGCAACAGTACAGATGGACGGTAAACAAGAGCCAGTTCCGTGAAGGAGACAGTGATAAATGCTACAAGGGAAATGCAACGGGGTGATACGGTGAGGTGAGGGTCACTTTAACGGGGTGCTCAGGGAGGGCCTCTCTGAGGAGGTGACATTGGCAAGGCCTCAGAAGCCACAGCAAGGGTCTGGGGTTGTTGTTTTATGGAGGGTTTAGCAGGGGAGGGGCGTGACCTGGTTTATTATTTGTAAACATCGGCGCCCTCTGTTGGACCCCGCCCTCAGATGCCCCGGAGATCAAGGTTGGAGTGGATGAGGAAGGCTTCATCTACTTGGCTTTCGAAGCCCCCGGGGCCCCCGACTCCTCAGAGTTCCAGTGGTCCAAGGACTACAAGGGCCCGCCGGACCCCCAGAGGGTCCAGATCGAGGAGGAAGCTAACAAGTGAGTGAGGGGAGGGGTGGCACAGCTAGTCCATGGGTCCCACGTGTTGTCAGATGCGTTGGCAGAAGCTCGTGGCTGAGACCACCCAGCAGGACCCACAGATAATGAATGAATGAATGAATGAATGAATGAATGAGTGAATGGGCCTGAGAAGGGATGCTTGTCTCTCACTACGGATGCTGGCTGCAACCTTAGGGAGAAATGGAGGAACAGGGCACTTAAGGGGCTGAAATGACAGCGTTCAGTTGGAGTGTTTTTCTGTAAGCAACTGCACAGGACTCCCTTTCTAGCCTGGGAGCCAGTGACTTGTTCTTGGAGCATCACTGGGCTCCGTGTCATCTCATTTGTAAAAAAAAGAGGGGTTGGGCACTAGCCGGTTTTGCTCAGTGGATAGAGCATCAGCCTTCGGACTGAAGGGTCCTAGATTCAATTCCGGTCAAGGGCACATGCCCCAGTTGTGGGCTCAATCCCAGTAGGGGGCGTGCAGGAGGCAGCCGATCAATGATTCTCTCATCTTTGATGTTTCTATCTCCCCCTCCCTCTCCCTTCATCTCTGAAATAAAAATAAATAAGTAAACAAATAAAAAGAGGGGTTGGGAACAGATGACCAAAAGGGTCCCTGTCACCCTAGCAGGTTTGGCTCAGTGGATAGAGCGTCAGCCTGCTGACTGAAGTGTCCCAGGTTCGATTCCGGTCAAGGGCATGTACCTTGGTTGTGGGCACATCCTCAGCAGGGGATGTGCAAGAGGCAGCTGATCGATGTTTCTCTCTCATAGATGTTTCTAACTCTCTATCCCTCTCCCTTCCTCTCTGTAAAAAAGCAATAAATTATACTTTAAAAAAAAACACACAAAAACGGGTCCCTATCAAATGCCTCTACCCCAGCAGCTCATGGCCTCAGCCCTGTCCAGCAGGAGGTAATGCTGATGACTTGAGCCCTACAGGGGGAGTTGGGCCGTGCAGCCAGTGAGACCCTGTGCCAGCCAGCCCGCTAACGGGGGCCACTGAAGGTGCCAGGCCTGAGCTGCCCTGGGCAGGGGACCCTGAGGAAGTGTGAGGAGGCAGTCACCCTGCTCCCCAGCCTGGCCGGGGTCTGGAGTTGGGCTGCAAGGCTCCAAAGCTGACGGAGGCTCTCAGCCCCCAGGCCTCTAGTGCATAAGGCCCCGCTCGGAGCACCTGCTCTCCTCTCTCTGCCAGGTCCAAGGTCATCCTGAGAGACCCTGGCCTTGAGGACTTGGGCACCTACTCGGTGGTGGTCACCGATGCCGATGAAGACCTCTCAGCGAGCCACACACTGACTGAGGCAGGTAAGTCCCTGCTCCCCTGCCACCTGCCCAGAGAGACAGGCCCAGATCGAGTCCCCCAGAGGCCGGCAAAAAGCAACAAAAGTTCGTGAAGCAGCGATTTCCAGAGAAGTGGGTCCTCACCCACCCAGTCAGTCAGCCAATTAGTAAATATCTAGTGAGCACCTTCCATACGCCAGGTACTGTCCTAGGATTACATCCGTGAACTCAACGGGCAAAAATCCCTGCCTGGTGGAGTTCGCGTTCTTCTTGTCTCTCTTTCCTTTTTCTAATTTGGATAAAAGCAAAGTTACCAGAATTATTTCCCTTTCTTCTATAGCCTAAAAAAACAAAACAAAAAACAAAAACATTTCATCAGAGAAATGAGAATAGCAATAGGGAGCAGTGGGGACTATGACAAACCAGAGAATAGAAAGGTCATCCTTGTTGAATGATTTAAACAGAACTGAGCCCTAGCTGGTTTGACTCAGTGGAGAGAGCATCGGCCTGCAGACTGAAGGGTCCCGGGTTCGATTCTGGTCAAGGGCACATGCCCAGGTTGTGGGCTCGATCCCCAGTAGGAGGTGTGCAGGAGGCAACTGATCAATGATTCTCTCTCATCATTGATGTTTCTATCTCTCTACCTCTCCCTTCCTCTCTGAAATCAATAAAAATATAAATAAATAAATAAATAAATAAATAAATAAATAAATAAATACAACTGAAATCAGTGCTAATGACAGATAAGACTCACTCTCTTCTGTCTCCATAGCAACTGGGGGACAGCCCTGTTGATGGCACAGGAGGTCCTTTGATTTTGTTCAGAAGCAGAAGCCAGACAGACCCAATTGCAATTCCACAGTTTTCTGGCTGTTTGACCTTGAGCAAGTCATGTCACCTCTCGGGGCCTCAAATGAAACAATGTTATGCAGAAACATTTAGATGATTCTATGCAAACTAAAGCCATCAACAAAAGGGATGGGCTTTTCGTTATGTTTTGTTCTGACTAATTCTTGCTGTGAGTCCAGACTCATGCTGAAGCCTCTGGGGCTCACAAGGGGAAAGGAGAATGGGCTCTGCCGCTGCCAAGTCATCATGCAACACATGTTTATTAGGTACCTACTGTGTGCCAGACACACATGTAGACTCAGAGCTCGGCTTTGCAGGAGAGAAAACCTAACAAAGAGGCAGTTAGCAAATGAGACAGCACTCGGCAGAGCTGCCCTGGAGACTTCTGGACTGAAGTGCTGTGTTGGGGCCAGACAGCCCTCAGAGACCAGGGCAGCATACCACAGGGGGTTAAGGACAGGGCTCAGAACCCAGTGGGCCTGGAGCGGTCAGAGGTGGACAATAATGCTCACCCCACAGCAGTGTGTGAGGACCAGTGAGATAATGCAGCACCCGGCACATAGTAGGCACTTCTCGAGGGAGGTGGCACTTGATCTCAAGGTGACCTGCATCCCCCTCTGCAGCCCCCTCAGTCGCCCCGGGGCTAAGGCCCACAGTGCTCATCTTCAACACCTGTGTTGCAAGTGACCCCAGGTTGAGGGGTGTTTCTCTGGGACTTTCACCCAGCAGGGGCCCTAGGATGGCTGCCCTGGACCCACTGGTCCCAGTATCTCATTCTCTTTGATTTCTTCCTTGCTCTTCCCTGTCCCAGAGCTGGACAAGCTGAAGAAGTTGAGCCATGAGATCAGAAACCCAGGTAAGCAATCCTCAGGCACCTCTTGGGGTGTTTGGAGCAGAGTTGAATCAGCAAAAGCAAAAAACTAGCTGGGGAGGTGGGGGGGCAGAGGAGGGCTTGGGGGGAGGCAGAGGATGGGGGCCTCATGGGGCTGGAGGGCAGAGACCTGGGGTGTCAGCAGTCTGTGAACTGGAAAAGGGAAGCCAGGCAGAAAGGGAATGCGAGGAGGGCAGGGGGGGTGTTTCTTCTTAGGTGGGTTTTGCATCATGGGAACCTCTGCTTCCCTCCGCTGGCTAGTAGCGGGCAGGGTCATACACTTGGGTGCACATTGGAATCACCCCGGGAGCTTTTTAAAATCCAAATGCCCAGGCCACGCCCCAGACAAATCAGAGCCTGGACATTGATGTTTCTGAAAGTCCTTGGGGTCCCCCAGGGTGAGAGGCACAGCCTCCGAGGTGTGGGAAGAGGAAACACTTAAAATGAGTTCACTCTAGAGCGAGCCCCACCCCAGTGTGTCTCCTTCAGACATGCAAGCGCTGTACACAACATGCTCAGGGTGGGGCTGGTGCCGAGTAGGGAGGGGAGAAGGGGGCCAGGCCCACCCCACTCCTTCCTGCCTTCTGTCTGCCTCGCAGTGATCAAGCTGATCTCGGGCTGGAACATTGACATCCTCGAGCGAGGAGAGGTGCGGCTTTGGCTGGAAGTGGAAAAGTTATCTCCGGCCGCTGAGCTGCATCTAATCTTCAACGTAACTGGAACTCAGGTTCCTTCCTCAGTGAGGTCCCCTGCCCAGCTCCTGGCTTCCCCAGGCAGTGGTTCCCACAGGCCGGCAGCGCCCCCTAGCGGACATATCGGAAACGGTCACAGTGATGGGGTGGGAATGGGGACACCTGGTTTTCAGTACCTGGAGGGCAGATGGCAGGGATGGTAGATGCCCGCCAACGCGAATCCCACAAAGCATTTCCCACACCCCCTACAACATTTGAATGTCCCGCCAGACATTCTTTAGATAAAAAATCCACATTCATACGGATAATTATCCAAGCCTAGGCCCTAACTGAGATATACAGAGAATTTTCGCACAGTTTTAACATACACTGAATAGAGTTTTTATTCAAGTAGACATTTCACATGCTCTTTTATTCATTTTCCTGTTCTTGGACAGAATATTTTTTTATCTTTTTCCTTTTCTTAAATTCAAACCAATTCATTGTAAATCAGTGCAGCATGAGAGTGTACCTGATATTACTTTTATTTCCTGAAATTGCTTTTATTTCTTCTTCCTATTACACTTGTAGTATTTTATTGCTTTTTATAGTTGACACACGAGTTGCCCATATTCAACTGTTTTTACTTACAAACACAATTTCAATCTCATGGCAGATTTAATTATGAGATCATATTATTTGTGAATTTTATCACCATCAGAAACTATGTGTTGCAGAGAGACGAGAAAGAACTCAGGGTTAGATGTCACAGGACTCATTTATCATCCCCATCGGTTGTGTGCCCTTGGACAAGACCCTTCCCCTCTATATGCCTCTGTTTCTGCATCTGTACAATGGGGCTGGTTGTTCCAGCATCAGGAGGAGCAAATGAGGAAATAGATTTGAATGTTCTGCTTAACGATTAAGTATGAACTTGGCACATGGCAGAGGAAGTGTCACAAAGTCTAGACTATCACTGGCCCTGCTAGAAATATAAAATAAAATTAGATGGCTCCCTCAAACCACACATACAAATAAGACCAGAGGGAATAAGGTTCTAAATGGGGAAAAGAGCCCAGCCTGCATGGCCCATCAGTTGAGCGTCGACCTATGAATGAGGAGGTCACGGTTCGATTCCCAGTTAGGGCACATGCCTGGGTTGCGGGCTCAATCCCCAGTGTGGGGCATGCAGGAGGCAGCCGATCAATGTTTCTCTCTCATCATTGATGTTTCTCTCTCTCTCTTCCTCTCTGAAATCAATAAAAATACATTGAAAAAATAAATTAAATGTGGAAAAGAAAACTCTTAAAACTCTTAGAATATGACAAAATACAAACAAGTGTTAATTCTGGATAGCAAGTGCACAGGCTTTTAAAATATTATCCTTTATACTTTTATGGAGAATTGTAAAAGAAGTAGAAAAGAAAAAAATGGCACAATAGGGCTTGGAGCTTATTATTAATGGCAATTAATTCAAGCACCAAGACTCATCCCTGTGCCTGCCGGACCTCAGGGGTGTTGTTGGGGGCTGAGTGGGGGGAGCACCCCACACCATAAGCAGTGGAGGGTTATCCAGGGCTCCCTCCCCATCTCTGACGGCTTCTACTCTGCACATACCTCTCTCCAGGTCTAACTGCACGTATGTGCCCATAATGCAAATGCCCTGCGCCTGGAAAAGGGCAAAGGTGATTCTCGGGTTTCTTCTCCCCAGGACCGCAAAATCAATTTTGAGCGAGAGAAGGGCCTGGTGGAAGTGATCATCCAGAACTTGTGTGAGGAGGACAAAGGGTCGTACACAGCTCAGCTCCAAGACGGAAAAGCCAAAAACCAGATCACCCTGGCCCTGGTGGACGACGGTCAGCCGCGCCCCGCCCACCCCGCCCATGCGCCCGGCCTCAGCTCGCAGCTCCGGGGTCTTCTGTCCACCCTGATGCCCCTCTGTGGACCGGTGTTCCTCTCGGCTCATGCCAGCCCCTCCCTATGTGTTCACAGATTTTGACAAACTTCTGAGGAAGGCAGATGCTAAGAGAAGAGACTGGAAGAGAAAACAGGGTAAGAGTTACTGGGGTGAAGTTCAAAGGCCTCGGCCACAGGGCCAGGGGTCAGGACTGGGGAACTCTGGACTATTAGGTTAATAGATCCCTCAGCCCTGCTGGGCCCCCAGGGAGGCCACTGCAATTCAGTCCAGCTCTGTCCCTGTGCCAGAACCAAACAGCGCTTGCCCCATGAGGAGAGTGAGGCCTCCTTAAATTTTGCACCCTAGGCACCTCCCTTGCCTCACCCTGGCCTCTGCCGCTCTGGTGGGGGCAGAATCTAAGGGGACCCGTGGTCACTAGCTGCCCCCACCCGAGCTGGCTTCCCTGGTCTCGCCACCAGGTGGCGCCCTGGCCGAGCCTGGAGCTCTGACTGGTGGGCGTGTTTGTTTTGCACTTGCAGGTCCCTATTTCGAGGAGTTCTTACAGTGGAAGGTCACGGAGGACTGCCAAGTGCTGCTGACGTGCAAGGCAGGTCCCTGCCCCTGCCTCCAGCCCTGCCCCGAGGCCCACTGGGCCTCTATCTGTGGCTTGTCCCCAAGCCTGGTGGCTGTATTTGCTCTGCTCCCACAAAATCAACACCCTGTGCTTGGTTGATCCCACACCTGCAAAGTAGCCCAGAGAGACTGCATTTAACCAGAAAGCAAAGCCACCCTTCGCAGAGCCCAGGGCAGAATTAGTGTGAGTTGGGTCAGCCTGCACAGGGTAGGGGTTCTTTGGGGCCCGGGGTCTGAGAGCAAGTGAGGGGTCTATGTGTTGAGCAGGTTCCCTGGTATCTGTCGGCCGCCTTGCCAGACACTCTGCTCGGTGCTGCAGAGCATGATTTTATTTCATCTGCCTCACGAGCATCTGTGAGTTAGGCATTATCACCCCCGCTTTACAGATGGGAAAGCAAACAGGGAAGTCACTCAAAATCAACAGGTGGAGCCCAGAGTCTGTCTGACTCCGAGTGGTGCTCCTTCCCAGCACCCTGCGGCCTCTTTAGGGAGCTGGGGGAGGGCCGGATGGGGGAGGGTACTCTCCCAGAGCATATCCGCTCAGCAAACTCAGAGCACCTACTGTGCACCAGACACTCTGCAAGGCACTGGGCACACAAGGAAGAAGAAGTGGCCTCCTTAGGAGCCCACGGTCTGAATCCGGATCCTTGGAAAACAGCGTGCCTCCAGCTGTGACCGAGACTCATGTGCACGCTGGGGAGCTTCAAGGGAGGCTTCCTGAGGGAGGTGACCATTGACAAGGCTAAGATGCAGAGGTGTTTACAAGGAAAATAGAGCAGCAAAGGGATCGAGAGGCAGGGGGAACAGCATTAGCAAAAGTCCTGAGTCCAGAAGCCAGCAGAGACATGGGTGAGGAAGAAGGTGGCTGGGACTTACGGTGAGGGTTTGTATGTGCAGGGGAAAGTGTCACATTTATTTTTAAAAAAAAAAGTTCTGATGAGCTGAGTTTTTCCTTAAAAAGAGGAAGCCTGATGGAGCCACCTTCTCCACTTTCCCCAGGTGACCAACACCAAGAATGAAACCCGCTTCCAGTGGTTCTTCCAGAATAAAGAGACGCCGGACGGTCAGTACGACCCGCAGACCGGAGCAGGGCTTCTCTGCATCGAGGAGGTAAGTGCAGCTCCAGGCAGTGCCAGGAGCACCGGTGCCGAGTCAGGAGCAGGGCCAGGGCTAGGGTGAGGCCGGTGAGGCAGTCACCACAGGTACAAATGTAAGGGGGCAGGCACTCAGTAGTCAAGATAAATAATATTTCAGCCCTCGCCGGTTTGACTCAGTGGATAGGTCGTCAGCCCACGGGCTGATGGGTCCCGGGTTCGATTCCAGTTAAGTGCACATACCTCAGTTGAGGCGTAATCCCCTACCCTGGTCAGGGCGCGTGCAGGTGGCAACCAATTGATGTGTCTCTCTTACATCGATGTTTCTCTCTCTCTCTCTCTCTCTCTCTCTCTCTCTCTCTCTCTCTCCCTCCCTCCCCCTCCCTTCCATTCTCTCTAAAAATCATGGAAAAAAAATATCCTCCAGTGAGAATTAACAATAACAACAACAAAAGATAAATGGTATTTCATACAATCTTTTTAAAAATCAAAATAATGGGGCCGGGGGAGGCATGAAGGTAACAATACCAAGATTTTAAGTAAAGAGAGGACCAGTAACACTGATTTTCCCTTTTGTGTGGACTCCACTCCTGGCCCTGCCCCTGTATGGCCTTGGGCCAGTCACTGTTCCCTCTGACCTCAGTTGTCATGGTGGGAAGGGATGCTCTCTCAGATTCCTTCCTGCCCTGACAGGCTAGGGTTTTAGGGTGTGAAGGCCGGGCACCAGGCCCGGGACTCAGTTCACCCACCCACGTCCCCCGTGGCCTCTGAGGAGGTGACCTGGTTAAGATAGAAGTGCAAGTCTTGTTCTCAAACATTCGTGTGTGTGGGGAGCCGGCACGGCCATGGCATACTCAGCCCCAGGGCGCCTTATGTGCCGCGCCAGCTCAGCCTGGTTCAGCGACCCTGAGTGTGTGTGTGTGTGGGGGGGGGGGGGGCTGTGGAGCCTTCACTTGTCGGGGGAGGGAAGGGCTAGGAGAGGACTCTTGGGTTTGGCCCTTTGGTCCCCAGGTGAGGAGCTGCCTCTGCCTTGGCCGCTGCCTCACAGCACACGATGTAGAAATGGTGGGGCTGAGGGGACAGGGAGGCAGACATCACTCCCCAGGCCCTGAGGGAGACGCTGGGTAATGAGAAGTCACATCTGACCTGTGGAGCTTGTTTTAAAAGTACCACCCAGCCCTGGCCGGTTTGGCTCAGTGGATAGAGCGCCGACCTGTGGACTAAAGGGTCCCAGGTTCGATTCTGGCCAAGGGCACCTGCCTGGGTTGCGGGCTAGATCCCCCCCAGTAGGGAGCGTGCAGGAGGCAGCCAATCAATGATTCTTTCTCATCATTGATGTTTCTATCTATCTCTCTCCCTTCTTCTCTGAAATCAATAAAAATAATTTTTTTTAAAAAGTACCACCCAGCCAGGCCAGTGTGGCTCAGTGGTTGACCATTGGCCTATGAACCAGGAGGTCACGGTTCAGTTCCCGGTCAGGGCACGTGCCTGGGTTTCGGGCTCGATCCCTAGTGTGGGGCTTGCAGAGGGCAGCCAATCCATGATTCCCTCTCATTATTGATGTTTCTATCTCTCTCTCCATCTCCTTTTCTCTCTGAAATCAATTATATATATTAATTAAAGTACCACCCAGGTTAATGGTTTACTTATGTGTTGCTTCAGGCTTCATTTTGGGGTTAACGAGCATGTACCAGAGAGGACCCCCTTGTCCTGAGGGAAGGAACACACTTTCTTCTGAGAACTGCAGGGGGCCCCTCCTTCCAGGGCCCCCAGAAGCAGGCAGCCCGGGTGGGGGTGAGTGGTGCTCAGACAGGCTCCACGCGGAGGGGCCACTCGCTCTGCTTGGAGCAGCTGCTCTTGACTGTCCACCCACCACACCCTCAGGCCCAGACCAGCCCTGAGTTGGAATCAGGGGGCTCTGGAGCTGGAAGGAGCCTTAGAGCACACCCATTCCAGATGGGTAAACTGAGGCCGGGGAAGAGATGGGTCTTGCCTGAGATCACACAGAGAGTGAGGCCCGGCCTGGAGCCCAGCTGACCCTGCCTTCACTCACCCTTCTTTCCAGCTGTCCAAGGAGGACATGGGAATTTATAGAGCGTCGGTTTCTGATGACCGAGGGCAGGATGATACCATACTGGACCTCACAGGGGAAGGTAGGAGCTGGCGATGTTGGAGGTGGGCCAGGAGGGCCAGGGGGAGTTCACACTGAACCAATAGACAGTGGTCAGGAGCCCCATAGCACTTGAGGCAACTGAGGCCCAGAGAGGTTAAGGGGCCTGGTCTGCGTGACACTGATGCCCATGTTCACAGAAGTATTCCACAGTGAGCCCAGGCTTCCCAGCCCAAGTTCACTCCTCTGCCCCACAGGGGCCCCTGGCTCCTCGTCCAGCTGTTGGTGCAGCTGGCAAGAGCATTGTCAGGTCGGCCCGTTTGGCCTCCACCCGTGGTGCCCCTGCCTTATCCGTCACTGAGTGCCCCAGGCTCCCTCCCGCCCCGACCGTGGCAGGCATCCTGCAGGCTCAGGCTCCCTGTGTCCCGAGAGCCACTCGTGAGCTCCTCCAGCCTTTCTAAGGATTTCCCCCTCCTGGTGCGTCCACGGGGGAGTCCGACATCCGCTGACCACTCTCTCTGTCTCCCCCAGCCCTAGACGCCGTCTTCACGGAGCTGGGCAGGATTGGTGGTAAGTAAGCCCCTCTCTGCCCCACCCTCCCTGATGCCAGACCACCTCCAGGGACCTCCAACCAGCCTGGGCTCCTGGGGGTGGGCTTAGTCTCCAAACCCAAGGACCGGGGGCGGAGGGAGGAGAAGCTCCTGCCTCCTCACAACACTGCGTCCTCCCACCGCACCCCGAGGGCAGGGACAAGCTGGCGGGCCCCAAAATGTGCTGCCCGAAGGAGCTCGGGGGGGACTCACGCCTTCCTCTGCCTCCCCAGTGCTCTCTGCCACCCCACTGGAAGTCCAGGGGACGGAGGAGGGGATCCGGATCCTCAGCAAGGTCAAATACTACAACGTGGAGTACATGAAAACCACCTGGTCCCACAAGTAGGTCGGCTTTACCCTGGAGCCCTAGCCTGGCTGTAGGGGGCCCAGCCCAGTCCCAAGGGGTCGGCAGACAGGGTCTCCCACTGGTCCTGTTGCCCACAGAGGGAGTCAGGAATTGGGAGCAGAAGGGAGATCCCCCAGGGCAGCTGGGTAGCCTGGTGGTAGGACCAGCTTAGGGCAGCCTCTGGAACTGAGGGAGGAAAGGATGCAGGAACCAGGGCGAAGCAGACAGCCAGGTGGAGGAGGGGGTCATGGTGCCCTTGTGGGTCTCTGCAGCCTTAGCAAACTCAGGCGCAAGCAGAAGGGCCTGTGGGGCTGCCAGCTAACTGAGGGCCAGGGCTTGAAGGTAGGACAGATAAGGTATCCACGAAGATTTGACTGCGAACTGAGTAACCCCAGATTGCATGAGAGCAGCATTTTTCTGGCGCTTCTCGTCATTTGCACTCCTCAGTCTTGTGGAGCAGACATTGCTGCACCCATTCTGTGAAGAAGGCTATACTGACGTGGTCAAGTTTGTCAAATGAGTGAGAGCTGAGGCCAAGTTGAATTCCAGGATAATGAAGGTCCTACTCTAGCGTTTCTAAGGCCTGTGACTAAGCCCAGACACAGGAATTAGAAACACAACTTCTGCAGCACAACACTGGGACATGGGCCAGGTGTTTTCAGGATGAATTTTAAGTTAAAAACAAAAACAAAAAAAGGTTAGCTCTAGCCAGTTTGGCTCAGTGGATAGAGCATTGGCCTGTGGACTGAACGGTTCTGGTTTCAATTCCATTCAAGGGCATGTGCCCAGGTTACGGGCTCGATCCCCAATAGGGGGCAAGCAGGAGGCAGCCCATCAATGATTCTCTCTCATTATTGATGTTTCTATCGCTCTCTCCCCCCCTCTCTTCCTCTCTGAAATCGATAAAAATATTTTTTTAATAAAAGTTTAGCCCTGGCCAATCCAATGTGTCTCAGTAGTTGCGTTGTTGGCCTACACACCTAAGGGTTGTGGATTCAGTTCCCAGTCAAGGGCATGTACCTGAGTTGCAGGCCAATCCCCAGCTCAGGTCAGGTTGTGTTTGGGAGGCAACCAATAGATGTTTCTCTCTCTCTGTCTCTCCCCCTCCCTCCCTTCTGCTCTCTCTAAAAATCAATGAAAAAAATATCCTCGAGTGAGGATTAACAACAAAAAAACAGCAACAAAAAGAAGTTTAAATGGTTTCTTCCTAAGGGCGAGGGGAGAGTGATTGTGGAAAAAGCCCTGGGAGGATTAAAGAGGAGGAGAATGAAGAGGCGAGGGAGTGACTGGTGGTCACTGACCTGAAGCACTACTTCCTCCGATTCCCAGCCTGCAGGACATGGCACACCACACTCAGCAGTGGCACATAGTTGATGTGCCACAGGGTTTAATGGATGGATGATGGATGATGGATAGATGGTTGGATGGGTGGATGATGGATGGATGGGTGGATGGATGATGGATGGATGGATGGATGGATAGATGGGTGGATGATGGATGGATGGATGGGTGGATGGATGATGGATGGATGATGAATGGGTGGATGATGGATGGGTGGGTGGATGATGGATGGGTGGGTGGATGGGTGGATGGGTGGATAGATGGGTGGATGATGGATGGATGCCTGGGTGGATGGATGATGGATGGATGGGTGGATGATGGATGGTGGGTGGA